TAGCTGTCATTTTATTTGGGTTATGGTTTTGAGCATGGTATATAGAAGTTGTTTTTCAATTTCTACAGATGCTTTTGACAGAGAGTACAAAATGGCCTATGATCGTCTCACAGCTAATCAAGTGAAGAATACTCATAATTGTGATAGACCACCAAGTACTGGAGTGATGGAATGCAGAAAGATTTTTGGAGAACCATATCTTTAAATATACTTAGATAAAGAGGTGATATCTATGATGTGTACCTGTGTAAAATAACCACTTCAGTCACAAGGAACATCTCAGTCTTCAGTGTTCAACAACGTATATACGAATGTACTGTGGCAGAAGGCCTTGGAAAAATTAGGCCTGTCTACAGTTGTGGAAAAGGACAGAGTGAAAAACGGGCCAAATATTATTTCCCTGTCCCTTGTCCTTTCTGCAAATCGATGTGTAGAAAGGAAGAGTCTAAACAAAATCAGTTCTTTAACTTGGGACAACATATTACAGTTCCCTTCTTTAAAAAAAATTGAATAACAGGTGGACGGCAACAATGCACTGAAACTAATGTGAGCGAAGTAAATTCTTCAAAATCTATTGTTTACATAGAATATTCATGATGTTATGAAGAGCATACAAAGTTGTATTATACATATTTTAAATTGTTTATAGTAAGTTGATATTTTTTTAATTTTTTTAAATTACTGGAGTGAATTTTAAATGGACTTGCTGCATAAGCAATACAGTGCTTATTTTTTTTGCAGTACACTGCTATTTATAGTAACTTGTCCAGTTACTTTTTGAAGAGTGATTTGTTTTTAAAGCAGAATAGAAAACGTTGACCTTCACCTAGACAGTACTCTAGGTACGGGATTTCTCTCATGCACACATGGAAAACATGTTACCACAGCAATCAGAAGGAAGGTATGGTAAACTTCTGTGAAACTCTGCTAATGAACACACTGATGTCTCTGTAAAACACTTCTGTAGAAATCTATTCCTCCCCTGTTCCCTTCACTCCCCGTTCCCTAGTAGAGAAAGCATGTTGAAGAGTCCTACAGGTTATGGTATGGAATCAGTACATCTCAGCTGTTGGCATTTGTTAATGTGACCTCATTACAGATGTAATGACAAAGCAAATGACAGCCTGCAAGAAGTTCTTCATAAACGTGCAGTGTTCAGAGTCTTGGTGGATGTGTTTGAAACATACTAAATATGACACGTACATAATGCTAATCCAAAGCTTTTAACTAAAGTACATACAGCAAACTTGCTACAGGGAATATATAGGGAATGTAACTTATTGGACATATTGTGCATAGTTAAATGTACTTGGAATGTTTGGTCTCTATTTCACAGGCAAAACAACTTTTTTTTTTTCTGTGAAGAAAAATGCTATGTCAGTCCTTGTGGTGGAGTCATGGCTTTTGGCTCATGTTTTCTTGTTCTAGAGATTTAAAAAAATGTTCTGTGCTCTCAGTCACATAGCAACTCCTCACCAGAAGGTAGGCTACAGAGAAAATATCAGAAGTCTTGTATGGAGGTGGGAAAACAGACACTGAATTGTATAAAACGCCCTAAAGAAATTAAACTTTGTTTTAACAAATAGCTTTATTTTAAGTGATCTTAATGGTTTTCCAATTCTAATTTCTTTTAGTTACCTGTTATAATGCTTCTAAATATTCAGCTGTTACATTAGACTTTATATTTCGGTCTGTCTACCAGCAAGTATTTTTGAAAATCTCTTTAGTTTGCAAGTGTAATAATACAGCAATATTTAGTTAGGCAGAAAGGAGATAAACTGTAAAGCTCACATTTACTTTATTAAATGAAATAGTGAGCATTTTAGAGGCTTATATGAGAAGTAATGCTGCTATGAAGCTCTATGTAACCTCCTCCCAGACCTCTGTAAAGCAGTCAGAAGATGCTGCCCTAAGGAGAAAGGATTTAAAATTTGTAGAGCTGCCGGTATGTGCTGATGATTATTGCAAGATGCAGTCATGTTGGATACAGCTTTCATTGGGTAATACCTCTTCTCTAGTTTGCTGCTAATTATGTAGCTGACCTTTTGAAAGTATCCCCCCCATCCTGAGGTGGAGCTAGCAATGCTACACTTACCAACATTTTTCACATTTAATTTATTTTAACAATTTGTGATGCTCTCTTTTGTACTGCCACGCTTGTAAAGTATTGCTCGTGCATGAAATATAGCTACTTTTTTCACCCAGGTACATGGTAAGCAGTGTATCAGTGTAGGGTGGATACATACCCCCTTCATTCTTCTGAACTGTTGTGAAAAACACCAGGTTATTTTTGAACATATTCATTGTAAGGACCTAATAGTGTGCACGTATGCTCTGCTCTGTACAGTAAGTACACTGTATTTACCAAGTAAAAATTGCATACAGTAGTTACTGTGTATATAGACTCATATGTGTTTGTGCTGTGTATAAGGTAGTGTTCCTAGCTTTTTGCCGTTCCATTTCCCATGTCATTTACCGCTTGGGGCAGCCACTGTTTTATAGGACCTTCAAGCCATGAAGGAGGGCAAGTGCTTTTTCCAGAGCTGCCATGGTGCATTAGAGGTACTGAGCTGTGAAGCAAGCTTCACGCTTCCTAGTTTAGTCTGGCGGAAGCGACTGAGCCCGGTCTCTAACCACCTCTCACTGACTAGGATGTAACACTGCAACTGTGTGTGCTAGCACAGGAATAGATACAACACTTGTAATACGTGGCCCACTTTCTCCATTCTAGTCCCAACTTCGTTGTAAGTACTTCCAACTGTCTTCAGACTTATAAAGCCTATGAGTTTGCCTCTTCATTCAAATATCAACAGTCCTGCCAGTGTTATCAGAAAAGTATATACTGTACCATGAAAAGGACTGTATGTGCATCCTTCGGACAAACAATCTTACTGTGTTCTTGCATCCTCAGAGTGGCACTCCTGAAGCATTGCTGATGTTTATTTGGGTGTGCTCTTAAATTACTGTATCATGTAGTAGTTCATCAAGTGAAATCATTATACCTAATGAATTGTTTTAATAAAGTCTGTTGCAAGTCAGTCCACTGTAGAAATACTATAATAAAATATAGTTGGAATAGCGATATACTTTAAGTGGGATATTTTCCTCAGTCAAGTCATAATGTTCAAAATGTAGGTCCTGAGGTGGATAATTTTTAAGCATCATACAATTCAATGTTGAAACAGTTTTCAAATCTCACTGTCCTTTATTAGAAAAGCAATTTGAGTATATTTTCCAATACCGCAAAGATGGATAAATATAATATTTGAGACATATTTTCAATTTAAAATTTTATATGAACTGAATTTTCTCCTTTTGTGTACTAAATGATGCATATGTCAAAGACCTTAAACGAAGGTTTTGCATTTGCAGTGCAATATATATTTTGCTTTACTTATGGTTCCACTGGAGTAAGTATTGGAGATGAAATACTGAAATGTGAATAGAAATTGTGCTGTTTCTCTGACACTGCTAACTGTTTGTTTCCTGTTTTGAGAAGGTTTGCTGTTGGTACAGTTAGTCTGATGAATTAGACTTCCACTGGCGAATTAAATGATTGGTACCCCAAGAAAGAGAAAACTCCTGCACATAAAATCTTTGTATAACAAATGGGAGATGCAAATAGTAATAATAGAGAGGGGTATTTCTGGATATTGTCTCACTGGGATTTAAAAATGGTACTTTGTTAGTCTGCAAGCAGCACTTTTTAAATGAATGGTTGTAGATTTGTAAATATGTAATGTTTAAATTTTATTTACCAAAAACCAGTATGTTGGATGTTTGCTTTGGTTTGTAGTTCCTTTAAAATATGCAAAGTCAGTGCTCACAATGTTAAGTTTTTTTCTGTTTCATCCAAAAAAAGAAGTTTTACAGTGAGTCAATAAAAAGCTTAAAGTCTTTCTGGGTATTTTTGTTAACATTTTATTAGATGGATTAGAACGACAGAAATGTCTGCAACTCTTAACTACATTGTTTGCTCACACGAGGCATTGTTAACAATAAACCTTTCAGGTTTGTTGATAGTTGATGTCAGTGGCATTTTTTCGTGGTGGTTGTGTAGAAGACAGTGCTAGCAACCAGAATTAGTGCTGGCTACAATAATCTGTAAATTTCAGAGATTAATGTCAGGATGAAAACAAAACTCAAGCGGTTCAACTTGTAGTATTTCTGATTCCTGGTTTCAGTTTTTGTTAGTGGTAATGTGGTATTCTAAGCCCAAATCTGGTTAGTCTTGTTACAGTAAGATGTAAATCCATATGACATCACACTTGTACTGGTGACACTGAGCATAAATTTTAAGGATTGTATTGCAAGATCAGGTACAGATTTAAAAGGAGCCATATGAACAGCTTTCAGGATTGCTCTGCCACTCTCAAATCCTGTGTTCTTCTGCATGCAGAAATAACTCTTACTGCTTTACTTTTTCCTTGAAAACTTGAGTATTACATTTCCCACAGTCTTAAGAGGGTCAGCAAAAAGCACTTCAGAGGAAGTGCATCACGTCTTCTGTGTACCCATTCCCAAAGGTATGTATAGACTACCAGTTGTGGGTGCTTTACAGTGGCATTCACTGAAAGGATGAAAACTACCTCTGCCTGGAGAAGTCCAGGCAAAATAGCTGCAGCACAAACCTCGGGAACCACTGTGCTCATTGCTTATATGAAATTTGAGGGAGTTTACTTCCGAGATGCAGAATGTGTCTCCACACAATGATTTTAAGCAGAGCAGCTCTCTAAAGGCAAGCCACAGAGGTCTGATTCTATTCCCACTGAAGTTCATTGATTTCGGAGTGTTTGAGCAGTTTACTACATAATTTAGAGTGTGTTCCTGAGAATATTTCTATGATGAGTAAACAGGCTGTGCTGAAAATCAGCCCCGTTTACTTGAGGGGATCAGCTGTACTGAAAACTTCATGCATCTATATCATACCAGCCTTTCCGTGAATGCCTAAACATGTATATTACTTGATATTAGTCACTTCATTATCTGATCTTTTCTGATCCTAAAGAAAAATAGTAGAGGCTGACATACCACTTGAGATTTGGGGTTTGGTTTTTTTAGTATGTTAAAGATACTTCATTCTCAGTAAGTTTGTTATAATTCTGGTTGCTTTTTTCAGTAGAACCACTGCTACCTTAAACCCCCTTTGATTTTGATGTAGGCTTACATAGGTCTTGAACTGTCCAAATGTCATACAGATACTGGGCAGGATATTATCTTGTCTTCTAACATCACACTGATAATCAAAAACACAAAGTAAAGAGCAAACATAGTGAGCCCCAGTAGTTTGTTCATTTTCCATTTACAGACAGCGATTGAGATAATCACAAATAGGAGCATGAGAAAAAGGAGAACAATTGCACAAAACAAACCGTTGCTACTGACTGCAACTGGACTGAGCCCATTGAAGATAGAGTAAAGGAACCAAGGAATTGGCAAACTGCAAGTAAAGGAAAAGTAATTGAAATAAATGTTTTAAGGCAGTTCATTTTCTGCATCATAACTAAGCAATTTTTCCATACTGTTACAGGAAAAAAGATGCATGGTCGCATTCAGTAGAACAGCATAAATCTAAAATGGATATTGTTCATGTCAAAAAATTGCGTTTGGCTGATACTTGCACTGTCATAATGCAATCCAAGGATCTTAAAGGGTTTTAAAAACAATGCCTATGAATTAAGTATCTCAGCATGCTGTAATAAAAAGCAATTCCTGATGCTTTATTGATGAAAGATAGAGGCACCGATACTGAGCCTTGATTGCATAGCATCTGAATGTCTCTGAGTGTGACTAGACAAGTATCCTGTCTGTAAATCTGTGATGTTAGCCAAAGATCTGTTGCATTTTTGTCTTGAAAAATCAGTAATTTTCTGTTGATTCAGAATTAGATGAAGATGGTGGACTGTTATAAAAATCTGTCTTTCCTGGCTGGGTTAGGTTTTTTAAAAAGAAACAAACAAAAAAAAACCCACCACCCCATGAATGAATTGGTTGCCCAGGTGTCCTTCATTTAGTTACAGATAAAATGAAATTAATTAAGATTATGTTCGGAATAAAACCAGCTAGCTTTGTATTTCAGAAGACATGCATTTTTTAGTATTGAACTAATACTCACCCAACAGTGATATCGAAGATATTGCTGCCTACGGAACTGGAGACAGCCATGTCGCCTAAGCCTTTCCGTGCAACGATGACACTGGTGATGAGGTCAGGGATTGATGTTCCTGCTGCCAGTATGGTTAACCCCATAATTTCCTCTGATATCCCAATTGTTTCACCAACCTAATAAACACGAAATTGGGTAGGGCTGTTAGTTTTGGAATGTGGAATTTAATTGCTCTGTGCAATCTTTCAGGTTTTGTGCCATGTTTGAGTTAAAATATTCTGAATCCTCTTAAACATGGTGGCATTTTTCTGCTTTATAGGATAAAAAGTTGAATTTCATAGTGTATGTTGATCTCTGATTTGGTCTATAGTGTAGGGCATCTGATCAAGGTGTTGCCCAAGCTAAGCAAGGTCAAGTCAGGTACAGTGCAGCTCTTCTGTCCTAAGTTCACCTCCTCTGGATGTCTTCCATCTTTCCCTCTCCAGATTTAACATCAGCTATGGATCATCCGAGAGCTTTGGGAAATGACAGTCTTTGGGTTTCTGGCATGATCAACTATACCGTGAATCTGCAATATATCACTAAATACAAATTGGGGGTCTGACTCTACAAGATGGCAGTATTATTTCCCAGAATACCAGGTAAACATCAAGGCAAGAGCAGCTTCCAGAATCAGAACCTGTATTTTCCTAGAATTTTAATTAGTTAAGGGATAATTATGTTCTGCACAGAAGCATTCATCAATGAAAAGGCAGCATTAAGATAAATCTTGACAGCACTTTTCCTTTCACTGATGCACAAATTCCCTTGGAAACTCTCGAAAAATAATGGCTCTTTGTCAAATCAAAAAGAATGAAATTGAAAATTCCCTTTTGGGTTCTAACAAAACAAAGTTTCTACTGTTTTGATGGATGACTGCAGCCATAATTCATCAGACCAAATGCCACAGTGACACTGTTCCCTCTCTTTCCATCTACTTGTTTTAAAACAGTCTTGTTTGCAGAGGGAAAATAAACCCCTCACCTGGTGAGCCCACCACACCATGAGGTAAGAGAATACAGCAATCCAGACGATGGATCCAAAAAACGTGATGACAAAGAATTTTTTGGAATCCTGTTAAAATCAAGTTTGAAAAGAAAAACATGGAGAAGTTTCAGAAAAGTTAACAATCCTCAATGAAAATTATTCACCTGAAACACTTCACTGCAATCAATTGCTTTAACATGGACCCTGGTCTCTCTAATCGTATTTGGGTTTTGTCAGCTTGATTAGATGACCAGTAGTTGCTGGTCTTTTGTGGTTGATTAAATTAAATCTCTGAACTATGTTGTGTTGCAGCTGGGGCTCCTGTCCCGCTCCCTGCAGTATTAACAGCACTTCAAGTATGCAAAGACTCTAGACATGGAAAAATAGAACAGGGGACTTTTGCTGAGAGGAAATCTATAGTTCAGTTAATGAATCCAGTAGCAGAAGGAAGATGGATTCTTACTGGGCTTCTGACATCAGGAATAGTGCTCCAGAGAGGAAAGACAATGGGAAAGAGGAAAAGGTAAATTGCTTGTTTTTTCCTAGTTTCCGGCCATTCAAGAGATAATGGCTCGTCGTTTTCGTCATCATCTGTGCTGTCATCACCACTGTCTTCCTCACTCTCAGAGCTGCTGTCTTCTGAGGTATCGCTGTCTGACGAGGGCTGTAGATCAGAAAAAAAGAAAAAAGTCAATATGCTTTCACTCTAACAAGGAGCTGCACAGCATTTTTACACCATGGCCTTGCTTTGGCAGAGTTCACAGTTGTAACAGGGCTGAAGGCAGCCACAGCCCACATCTTGCTATTGTGGGACAAAATCCAGGCATACCCTACCCCAGTGCCTGTGTGTTATGTTAACTAACTTGTGTCCTTTCACTAGAAACAACCTTTTTTGGCACAAATGAGAGGTTTACTGTCTGTCCTTGAAAAACCTTTCCTCATCAGAACAGCCAAATTATATCAATTGAAAGGAGCGATTCAGGAAACAAAACAGAACCGAATACTGGTGAACACAGAGCAGGCAGGTACTCATATCTGCCCTTACGCTGGAGTAGCCCTCTGACCTCAGAAGAGTCATCTGAGCAGAAAATACTATACAGTATCAATTGGTGTCATATTTTAGACCTGATTCGTGTTTGTAAGCTGAAATGTTTCAGCTAACGCCTTAGTACATCTCATTGCTACACACGCAGTCTATTTATAGCTGCCAGTTACAGGAACTGGGTTGAGTCCTATCTCAAAAGCTCTAGAGAGGGAAGAAGGAAAAGTACATGGGAAGTTTGGTCTGGACTGGGCACTTATTGCCGGTGATGCTTATTTCAATACCTGTCCATCTTGCGATGTATCTGCCTTCTGTTTGCCTTTGCTGGGTTCAGAATCGCTGGCAGGAGTGACCTGAATGGTGCTTGGTGCCTTCTTTTCCTCTTCTGCTAGAAGTGATAAGAAGGAATACTAGTTTCGATCATGTTAGCATCAGGTGGTCACCTTCCCCTTGATCAGCAGCAAGGTTTGAGCTTCCTACAAAAATGTGTGGCATTTCTTGTTAAACCCAGTCTGATTCCTTACGTTTTCTGTTTGTCCTTTGTCTACTGCGGATTGTGATTAGTAAAAGCCGGGCAAAATCTGGCCCACCTGGTGTAGAATGATACCTTGATGCTCCTGTCACCTTCTATCTGAAACTGCCGTGAGAGGCACGTGGATGACAGGGAAATGCTAAATCTACAACTGATGAGTGTTTCTTGGTTTCATTCTGGATTCTGAAGATCTTATTAAAGCCATCCTTAAAAGTCAGAAAGGATGTAAATTTTGGCTTCCCCTTTTTTTTTAGTAGAGCATGGCATTCTCCAGGGAACTGATATTCTTCAAGGTTTCTGAGAAATGACTGTTATGTGCTGCCAGACTTTAATCCCTAATCATTTGGTAGGTATTCACGTGCAAATAGAAAAGTGCTGACACATACAAGGAAATAACTGCAGTGTCCTCTGTGCTGTTCCTGTGTTAACCTGCGTAGCCAAGAGGAACACAAAAACCTCTGTGCAGAATGGTGTAGAAACACGGATAACACAGAGCAGAGGGGAGAGGGAGTGCCTGGCGCTCTGCTCAGTCCCAACCAGGGCCCTTGTCTGACTGCTGCGATTTAGGGTAAGGGATCTCTTCCACGTAGTCAAGCCTGTCAAGTCAGTAGGATCGTGTTATCCCATGAATTGTACCTGGACAGGGTGGTGTTATAGGGTGTCTTATCCTGAACTGGGTAAGCTGGCCCAGTACAGTGCCTCACAACTGCACTAGGGAGCAAGTCTAGAGGGGAGATTTTCAGAAATGTGTGTTTTCGGTGAGTGTCATTTGGGATTTCTGAAACCAGGCCTTAAGAGAGTTCTCCCGGGATACTTTCAGTTCAAAGTGGGAGACAGAGCAATAATGCTTTTGGAATGTGCACAGCTCTATGCACCAGCAAAGTCTGTGGAACACACGGGGTGAAAATTCATAGTTCCGTGAAGTCAATGTAGTGTTGATAACGCACACCTAGATTTTACTTGTTTCTTAAACAGTGTTGGCCTTGTTAACATAGGTGAGGTCCAATGTTGTGAGGTACTCGGGTGAGTGCTGTACTGCAGCAGGGTGCTTGTGGAGGTGAGACCTTCCGCACAAAAGGTTGTTTATTTTTCATAATCTCCAGCCTCACTGACAGCACAGACATGTGTTGTAGCACAGGCAAGCTGCCTCCTCTGAATGAGTTCAGAAAGCCTGTGTATTGGTAGTGACATAGAAAAACCAAACACACTTAAAAGGGAGGATGCACAGACCCTTAGAATTGATACAAAGTCAGCGTGGCTTTTCTGTCTGGAGGAACCATGTGTGCTCTTTTGCAAGTGTGCCAAATTTCCAAGCTAAAATGAAGGTGCCTTGTTTTAACGAACACCTCATTTGCAGGATCTGCCAAAGATCAGCAGCAGAGCAGCACCCAACTGCTGTCTGTAATGGCCTGACTCCCCCTCTTCCTCTCTTCTGATGGCAACATACACTGCATCCTTGTAGCACTTTTCTGTTTGGATGCTGTCTCACCACTCCTAGACTCCTGTGGGGATGGCTTTTATTGCCCACTGTTAGCGTACATCGATTGATTTCTGCTGCATTATTATAGCAGCCATCTGTGACCAATAATAACAGAAAATTTGTGTTAGACCATAGTGTTTCTTTGCCAGCCCTTGGGTGTTGAGTGCTGGGAAGGTGAGAGATTGCAGTGCAAATCAAGGCAAACAGCACTGACTCTTCTTGCACTCACCTTCTGGTTTTGATCCTTGTCCAGCCAGACTCTCTACTTTGGCCTTGGCTATGTTGCTCAGGATGTCAACCCTGTCTTTAAATTTTGCTGTGGATGAGAAGGACGCATTCATCAGCAGCTGTCAGCTCTACAAAGCCCCCCTTTACCTGCCTCCCCTCAACACACACACACTCTCTCGCCCCTTTCCTCTTGCATGGATTGCAGTCAATGCTGACTTGCGAGTTGTCTTTCTGGCTGTGACTCTAGGTTTTGGCTGCTGCGAGTTGATCGTAGTTGTTATATTTAAATGCTTAGTACTATGGCAATTATGCCAGCAATTTGATATGTAACCAATACTTTCATATTTCAAAGATAATCTAGGGGGAAGAGAAATCCTTTACAGTTCAGTAATACAGGGGATATCTGTGCTTCATAGGAAGCAAATGCAGAAAGAACAGAGGAGGAGTTTCTATGCAATATTATTTTGTTCCCAGAAGACTATTGATTTTTTTCAGGCTAGATTATGTGCAGGTTAAAAATGACACCTTCCTTCTGCAGTGTGGCTGTTGAAGAGGCTTTGCTGTGCTGCTTGCAGCCTGCTGACTAGATTGTAAGGAAAAACAAAAATGTTTTATGTTCCAGTTATCTGGAAAATTATTGATTTCCCTAAGCATACATGAGTGTCTCCTCTGCTGGAGTCGATCTAAATTTCTGGTAGCCAGGTTCAACATGGGCCAGGCTACCTGAGAGATCGTCATCCCCAGTGCAGTGTCCAGTACTGTATTTCTGGGACTCTTGAGGACTTCTTCCGCTGTTAACCATGCTCTGCTCAGCTGAGCTGCTTTATTCTTGTTGTATAATGAACTGTGAAGCTCTGTGTGTGTCTCCATAGTTAGGTGTTGTGCTCAAACACCTTAACTCCGGCTCTCACTGAAAGTGAGCAAGTCCGTGGCTCGAAGGAAAGCATTGTTTTCCTCTGATCTATATCCTCTGTCGAGCTGCCTACCCAACGACTAAGGTGAGGGTCACAGGGTTTGCACATGGACAGTAGCCACAAGAAATTGGCCATGCTATGCTTGGCTTGTGTGCAGGACTGTAAATTAATTTCCTCTGAAAGTTTTATCACACTGATTTAATCTACCGTACTGTTGACTATGCAACCAGAACGTGCTGCTGTCATTTGCCTCAAGGGCAAGGCCCTGCTACTTTATTCATCGCCATGATACTAAGTTAATAGAAATAGCAGGTCTGAGGCCCTGAGCTGTGCAGGCAGATCTACCGTTCTGAGCTAAACCTTGTGAAAATCAGTAGACTCCGGTATACATCCAATACCGGGACTGGCTTAGACATTAAGGCCTCTGGGGACGCATCCTATTCTGGTAAGATTCTTGTTACTGTCTGACAGAAAAGTTTTTCACCCGCTGGAGTTTCCACTGAACGGTGGAATGACTGGACGGAGATGAAACAATGAGCTCTTCTCCTTTGAAAGGCTGGCTGGGACTAAAAAGCCTGACTCTTCCACGCTCCTTATCAATATTGAAGCCTGCCAGAGGGGATGTGAAGCACTTTCCTTCGTTCTGCTGATGCTAAGCTCAAGCGTATCCATCAGTACAGGGCAACGCAGAGGTGAACTTTTGCTCCCAGTCTCCTCTAACCACTGGGCAATGCATCTTTCTGTTCAGCTTTTCTCAGAAGCTGTTGCAAAAGCTTCTGTCAGCAGGGTCAAGGCGGTCAGGCTCATCCTAAAAGAGATTATATAAATTCAAGCTCCTGGCTTCCTGCCCTCACCTAGGCTGCAGGCTGGGAGTACCGACCCAAGCAGAGCCTGTGAGCATCTCTCTGTCAGGATAAACAGATTACGTCCAGGCCACTATCCACTTCTCATGAGATCAGCCTCATTTAAAAAAGGTCTTAAGTCCTCTGACACACATTTCATGCAGGATGGACTGAGATTGGAGGAAGAGCTGGCTATAAGCTGGCCAGATCTGCAGGTCAGCATAGGGAGGAAGGGTATCCGTCAGCTCAGGCCTCGCTAGTGCTGGGGATTAGCTGAGCAGGGCAGCGTGCGGGCTGCTTCGGCGGCCAGGGACAGGGCACTGCTGGTGCTCCGCAGCCCCGTGGGCTCAGTCCTCAGGCAGGAGTGCAGTCCCCTGCGGCATTCACTGCTGGTAACTCTCTCTGTCTCCAGTGGCCCTGAGATGCTCTTCAGGAAGATTCCTGTCCTATGGATTGACAGCATCTAGGTTGGACTTAACGTGGCAGCTGAGCTTCTACCTTGAGTTTGGCTCTTATGTTTAATTAGTTCTTTGGCTCTAACAGTTAATCTAAGAGGACTAACTTATAATATGAGCAGCAGGAAGGATTTTATTCTTTAAAATTTGGCATGAACCTGGAGGATTTGGAGATTCTACTGTCTAAAAGTGGAAGTGAAAAAAAACCACCTCATGATTCCTTTTGCCTCTTTATATCATGATTATCTTAAAACAAGTGATTGAACGCTAATGAAGCAAGGAGAAACTGTAGCTGCCTTTAGTCTTCCAGCTGAACGCTAGCCTGCGACACTGCCTGCTGCTCTATTCTGATCTAATTTCCAAAATCATTAGCTTGCTAACAGGGGCATACTGAGGGTAGACAGCCCTGACAACCTTGCTGCTGGAGCCTTTTTCTTCATTCAAAAGTAAAAGTAGGCTTCTCTATTCTTCCTGGGATGACTAGAGTTTAAAGAATAATTCTACGGTAAGACTGGAGGTTCAGAAATGAGAGGGTTCCTCAGTCTTTCAAAAATCTTTACTCCCTTTAATTCCCCAACAGTTCCCTCTGGTGTCTAAAAGGCACTTTAAAGCTTCTAAAGTAAAACACCTAGTCTCTTGCAGACAGAGAAAAAGACTGAAGTATTTGTCCTTTCTAAATACAAAAAGAAAAAACAACTGTTCTGGACTTAATCCACTATTCAGATGAGAAATTGTGTTTCACACAAGAGGTGTTGCATTAGGAACAGTGAAACAAAGTTTGTATTTCAGACTTCTACTGTATTTCTTAGACCTCTGCCTCCAGACGTTGGTTTTGAAGGCCCAGTGCTGGCAGTTTTTCCACATTGTGAACTCTTGCTGCCCTGAAACTGCTTCTGTGCTGCCCAGATAAAATGCAACTGCAGCAGAAAGAAGGAACCCCTACAGAGATCTTAATTTCAGCAGGTTAAGTTAGAAACTGCTGAGTAATAGTTGGCAACCTTTTCCTTTTGTAGAATGTTCTTTACCACAGCCTCTAAGTGCTGATGTTACAGGCTTTGGCAAGAAGGAAGAAGGACCCTTCAGGAAAGATAAATTGCTTTGGGATCATCTTTTATGTTGCAACCTAATTACAGAAATGTGTCCAGTACAGACCGTGCTGCACACAGCGCAAAGGGAAGGACTTTGTTGGTGACCGGTGGGAAGCAGGCACCCAGCTGTCCTGAGGGTACCAAAGGGGTGCCCTGCTATTAACACAAAGGCTGAGCTGGCAGCCCTGGTCTGCCTTGGCAGGTCCTGGTTCAAATCCTTTCCTCAAATCCTTTTTCAGAGTCATCCTGGGGAAGTCACTTCATCTTTTTGGCCAAGATCCTCAAGGCACTTAGGTTTCTCGGTCTATTCATATATGATTCCTCTTCTCCAGACTCCCTTTTCTTCAGGTATGAATTTATCAGGGTAAGGAGCGTCTCCTACAAGATACACAGCACCTGGGACACTGGCTCTAGGTTTGGGTGCTGTGCTCTTGTAATATTAGTAACTTTCTTTATCATTATCTTTTCTAAGGAGCTGTCTCTGTTCTGGCAGTGTTAAGTGGAACAGGCACGTACCTGGGGCAGAGGCTTTGCCCTTGACTCGGTGGCATTATTATAGTAAAGGGACTAAGAAATAACCACCTTCTGGAGAGACTGCAGCCCACTCTGGCATCGTCCCTGCTGTGTCAGACTTGCCAAAGTACCTATGGGCACACTCCCATCTAGTGGCTGCCGCATACAGACACAGTCACTCAAAGTCTGCCTGGCTGAAATGAGATGGAAAGCTGTCTTTCAGAGAAGATTCAGACTGCCCCCCCCGCCCCCCTAGTCCCATTTGTTCAATATTCACAGCCTCTTTAGCAAGGCCACTGGCTTACAACTGCACTGACACCCCCCCCCCCCCA